GGCCATCTTGCCAGCAAAAATACCATGATTTCTTTCTTATCTGAAAATGACATTATTTTGTCCTCATTCTGGTTGGAGATTATTTCCTCTCAACATTTTAAAGCTTTTATTTCCCTGTCTTCTCATTTGCTTCGTTATTGATGGGTTAGATTTTGTTTGATTTTCATTCCTTTGAGGTTCATCTGTCTTTTCATTTTGGTTGCATTTTTCTCTTTGATTTTGGTATTCCATAATTTCGTAATGTGTTTAGGTATAGATTTATTTTTTATATTGCTCAGAATTTACTGAACTTCATGATTTTGAACATTTTTATCTATAATCAATTCTGCAACAGTCTCAAATATTCTCCCTTTGAGCATTACCTCTCCCCCACTCTTTTTCTGTCACTGATTTCGATACATTGACTCTCATTCCTATTCTTCATATTTTCCATTTCTTGATCTCTCGTGCTGTAGTCTGCTTTATTACCTTGTATTCCAGTTCATCATTCTCTTTCTATTAGATATGCCTAATTGCTTGTTTGCCTTTCACACTGAATTTTTAATTTTATTACTATTATGTAGAAGTTCTATTCAGTTTTTAAAAAATCTACCTGCTGGGTAGATTTGCTGGGTGCAGTGGCATGTGCCTATAGTCCCAGCGACTTGAAAGGCTGAGGCAGGAGGATCACGTAAGCCCAGAGTTTCAGGCTATAGTGCACCATGATCGTGCCTATGGATAGCCACTGTACTCCAGTCTGGGCAACATAGTAAGACTCTCTCTCAAAAAAAAAAAAAGAAACAAAAACAAAAACTATCTGCATTTTCATAGAGTATTGGCTTTGTTATATATTTTTCTCTAATAATTTAAAAAATACTTCTTTTAAAGTGTCTACTAACAATTTTCACCTTATGAAGTCTTGGGTACATAATTCTTCGTTTCTTGACAGTTCATTTTTGCTGTTAGTGGATTCTTTCACTAAATGTTCTGTAGTTTTGGACTGCGAGTCTTTCCTCAGTGCAGTTTTATATGTGTGAACTGTGCACAGCCTAGGTTGAGTGCACGGTCTCCTAAAGAATTTTATATTAATTTCAGCCAGCTGCCCCAAGAATATCACTAGCCAGGGACATATTCTCACGTTAAACTTTGAGCTTGTGGATTCCCAGATCATGAGGGCAGGGTAAGATTGCACTCTAAATTTGTGTAATATAATTAGGAATTCTCAAGGAAGAACTCCTATATCCCATGCCACAGTCTAAATGGAGAAGAGCTGGCATCCTAACAATCTCCCTGTGCTGAAGGAAGATTTTTATTTTTATTTTATTGTCTGGATTTACCCTTTTAGTAAAAATGTAGCTCTTCAAGAGTCTTGGGTTTATTTATGAAGTCTCTGTTCTATCCTCCCCACCCCTTGGCAGGCTCTTTCCTGATCCCTTTATGGTTTAAGAGCCTAAGCCCCCAGATTACCAAGACTGACAGCCTCCCTCCAGGTAGCTATAGTGTCAGCTTATGTACTTATATCTCTGCTTTTCAGTTCTCTTTTTCAAAGCCGAGGAGGGGTTTCAGAGGGTAGCTGGACATTTCCCTTACTTTCTTACCAGCTTAGGTATTCATTTACAATAAAGGTTGTCAAATTTCACCAAGAATTTTTAAATGTTTTGTCTTGTGTATGTGTACACATGTGTATGGGGGAACGGGGCAGCATTGAGATAATTCATTTTGCCACATAGAATACCTTCATGTTCTCAAGCATATATATCTTGCCACGTTTATTTTTTGAATAAGCAATATGTTTATATGATATCAATAGGTATACATTGTGATGTTTCACTCACCTGCCTTTACGTATCTGTTTTCCATTTCCCCCCCACCCTTTCTTGCCATATTTTTTTTATAGTCAGTGGGGCTTTTGATTTGGGTTTGAATTCACCGCATATTTTTAAATATACACGGTGCAGCCAGGTTCATTTATGAAATGTTAGAGGCTTGGATTATCTGGGGAGAGTAATGTCCAGACAAATATATTAAAATGACCAATGAAATTGTAATGGATCAAAGAGCACCATTTATTCCTTGTGATTTTTGAAACCCACATGCATGTTTGTACTAAACGAAATGCTTTTACTAAGCATTTGTTTATTTAATCCAGAAATCTTTTGAGTACGCTAGGCAGTGGGGATACAAAACTGAGTAAGTAAGCATTCTTGAGGAGATAAACAAGAAGTTAGGTTTAGCAATGATACATTTTGCTAGGCGCAAGTGGGATTTTACTAGGGGCAAGTGGAGTGGGAAGAACACAGGGGAGAGCATTACCCAGCTACTAGTCAAAATGAGTTGTACTGTGAGTAATAAAGAAAAAGATGATAAAATGGCAAGATTATATGTTTGTTTTATCCTTAAGATGGCACTATAAACTCACAATTCCTTCATAGAAAAAGAATACATAAAAATCACCATGATTTATCTGAAATTTCACTGAAACCTTGTAAACTAGAATGGCTTTTGTGTGTCTGAGACTGTTATAGGTGCTCATACTATTCTCATTTAATCTTTGCAGCAACCTAAGAAGCAGGAATAAGTCTTTGCCCCATTTTGCAGACTAAGAAAAGGAGTGGGAGTGGGTGTAAGTGACTTGCCTTCAGTCACATAGTTTGTAAGTGGCAGACCTGAGATTTAAAAGGACAGCGTAAATCCAGAAACAGTGTCCTTAATCACTGTGCTGTATTACCTCTTTATAGTAATCCATATGTAGTAGTTACAGATACTCAGTTTTTTGGGTTTTTTTCTCCCAGTTCTGGTTAAATCACACAAGGAAACATTGCCCTGGCATGAGACCAAGAAGTCACAGAGCCCAGGTCTTAGCCCTCAGAGTGTGAGAGAAGACATGAAGGTATCAGGGACACAGTGCAAGTGGGCACTGTTGGTTTCCACTGCTCTCTCCAGACTGCAGCCAGGAGGCTGCCTCTGCCCTGCCAGGTCAGATGCCCCCCGGAGGCCCTCCCATAGCACCCTGGGCTTATGGTCATTTTGTATTTAGCACTCCAAACAGTGTTTACTGGTTTATCTCTCTCTCTTCCTCACTAATCTGTGGGCATTTTTGTAACCTCCATGCTCAGTACAATGCCTGGAGCATGGAGTTCTCTAGAAATCTTTGTTGAACCTTTTCTTCCTCCATATTAAACCAAACCCTTCATCACAGGCACTATTTTCTCAGTATTCAGTTCTTCACTCCCTTCTATACACAAATAATCCCCATCCTAGACAGGAAATTATAGAAGAGAAGGCAATCTGTCTGAGAAAGCAATTTCCATTTGAAGCACTTGTATGTTTAGGTGCTGCTGAGAATTGGAATAAAAGCCAACACGGGGCTTAAATTGTTAAGCAGTATCTATTAGCTAGCATTTCTTCTCCCTGGGCATTTCTAAATCTGAGAAACCTATACTGTGCTTACTATCCTTTCCGTGTATTCATCCAGGTGAAATATAGTTAAAACGAAGGTGAAATATAGTTGAAATGAATGCCAAGGGCAACCTGGAAAGGGAAAAGAAGCATCAAACAATTGAATTTTGTCAAAGGAGCATAAATGAGGAAAGGTGAGTTAAGCAGCTCACTATCCACCTCCTTTTTTTCTCTTAGATTAACTTCAGGTTGTTTCTCAGCAACAACTGGCAATAATTACCTCCTTTTCTGCCCCAAGCCAATATCTGGTACCCCAACCCCCACCTCTTTTCCCCCAATTTCCAAAGTTGGCATCTCTAGTAGGATTCCCAGTTTAGCAACCTTAGAGGCAATTTTGGTAGCCAATAAATCCTCTTGAAAGAGGGAAACTTAGAATCTTTGCCTAGAGTGAAAATTGACATTGAGGATGGAGCTGGTAGAGCTATCACGTTCAGGAGGCGACCTTGTAAGGATAAGAACACAGATGTGGCAGCGAAACAGACTCTTTGAAAAATGTCTGAAAATAGTATTCAGCACATGTTAGCTGTGATTATTACCTTGGATTTATGTCACCAGCAAGGAGGCTGTTGAATGACTTTATTTACTCACCACATATTATAACCCCCTTACTAGGTACCAGATACTGTGTTGAGTCCTGAAGATACAATCTTCACTCCTTAATTCAGCAAATGTAACTGTAGCTCTGGACAAGAATAATGCTTTGGAGGAATTATGCCTGGCCTAGTACGCAGCTGAATAGGTCAACATCTTGAAATCTTCCTTCCCCGATGTTTCAGCTCTGTTTAGGAATTTCCTCCACTATAGGCAATTAATCATAAATAGAATTTGATTTGCAAAATTTTATTATAAAATTTTATTTTCTCCATAAACCTCAGGATATGTATCTTGTGTAGCTGAGATTTTTTTGTTTTCTTTGCATTCAGAAAGATAAAGCTCTTAACAGATTAATTTATGAATTTGGACACTCTTGAGTGGGAAACCCTCCCAACTTCAGGGAAACAATGGACTTTTGGCTACACAAAGTAGTTAAGAGGTATGAGCCTTTGAATCAGACCAGACTCTTAAATTCCTCCATTTAACAGATACAAAATCGTGAGTAATTTCTTCACTCTTTTGAGACTCTGTTTCCTTATCTGTGAAAGAGCTAAAATATTTCCATCTTACCGAAGCAGGAAAGACATTCATTCATTCAAGTATTTTTTTTGTTGCACACTTACTATTCCAGATACTTTCTGGGTACTGAGAATACAAAAGTAAACAAAACAGCAAGAAATCTTATACTCTATGTTAGGATATGAGTTTACATTCTAATGAGATAAAAAATTGAGATAGTCTGTGTGAAATAAAGCATGCTATAAAAATTATTGTATCAGTGGAGAAAAGGAAAATTAAGAGAAAAAAGTAATAATTATTGTATTAATATATAGAGTGCTTATGTCACTAATAAAAGACTTAAGCATTTTGTTGTGGCAGAGTAGAGATTCAAATTAGAATCTGTAGTTATGTAGTGAAGATACTCTGATGAAGACAAATAATGTAGAAATGAGTTAATTGCTAGTGAAAAGATTTTCAAATTATTTTTATTAGGTAATTTTATAATTTCATAATAGCTGTTAGGATACACAAACATATATATACAATTTTCTAAACAATAAAAAGCCGTTTAGTATATCTGCCTGAATGTATAGTATTCAAAATCTTACCAAAACATTTATTATAAAAATCAGTAAAATTGTTTAACACATTTATAAAAATTGCTGGGTATGTATACATAAACATTTTAAGCTTGCTTTACAAAAAAGAGTTAAGTTTCTATCCATGTGCGCATAGTGACTTCAAAGGTAGTTCAAAGGGGGGGAATAAAGAAGGTAGCATTGCCTTGTAATACATCATTAATTAATACTGACTTACCTTTGGACATTCATGAAAAATCCTTTGTTATCACATATGGTGAAAATATTAAAAATTAATACTCCATTTCTATGAATAAAACATAGAAGACTTTATTTTTCCAGACTAACTCATTAGCATGAAAGACTGCATTCATTCTGCAGATATTACTGACACCCCATAATATTTAAAAATATTTACGATACTTAAAATTCAAAAGGAAACCCGCAAGACCTATTTTTCTCCCAATACATTCACTGAATGCAGATTTAAATGAGCGCATCTCATTTTGATTGTGCCCTTTGTGTGCTTTAAAATGACTACAATATAGTACATTTGTATTTTTAACTGGTACCAAAATTAAGATGAATGATCTATGCAAAACCAGTAGCCTGTATTTCTAGTAACAGTTGTCATATGCAAAAAGAAAAAGCCCTGAGTCAGTATGTTTTTGCAAAAGTAATGAAGGAGGGTGCTCTAAAGTCATTTTATAACTTATAAAATTGTTAAGACTGTCCAGTATTCATTTGCTTTGTTTTCATTTTGATTGAGGAGAGGTATGATTTTTGTCTCGTTAATCCAATTCAGATCTTTTCTTAATACTCAATTTCATTTAAGTCCTCAGAATGTCCTGATGATTGTTGAGTTGTATCTTCCATTTCTGTCAGGAAAGACAAATATACAATAACAGTATTTATTATAGAAAAATATTTAATTTGTATTCTTGTAGTTTGAAACAGTATTGCAAAGTCCATTTTCAGTCAAGCTTATATAATTGGGAAAAAATATTACCTTCACAGGGTCCGGCCTGAAATTTAACGTCATCAATGGCGATATCACTTCTTATCGATACTCCTCGAATGGCTTCAAAAATAATCTGAAAGAATAATATGTTTGAATTTAGAAATAGAATCATCCTGATAATACAGTGCTGGTCAGGGCAGATCCAGGCTTTGTAGATATGAAAACTTAGATTGCTCTTGAGGATCCCTTTAAGGAAAAGGATACCAAATTACAAATTGTAATCTAGAGATTAAAGATAATATTTATTTGGAATTTAAAGAAACAATAAATTACTGAAGCCTTGAAGATTCAGGTCCCTGTCTTCTGAGATCTCTTTACCAATTTCCCAGAAATGCTTGCCTAGAAACGCTTCCTGGTGGTAACCTGGTTTCCTCTTCCCAGTTGGAACACTCTGCTTCCAGCATCCCCCAGCACTCACAAAGGGTCTGTGAAAGTGAGGTGCTCAGAAACTTAAATTTCCCTTAGCACTCCATAAATCTACGTCTGATACTGCTACTAGGTGGAAACATTTAATATGACTGATGATACCCATGTGTGAACAGAAAAGCATAATAATGAAGTTTACCAAAGATAAGGGTTCACTTATGTTAAATACCACAACATCAAAGACACAGCTCAGGCAGAAGAGAGAATCAGTTTTATAACTTTAGATTCTGAGAAGAATATAACTGATCAGATATTGTGGTTGTAGGAAAAATAGATTACTTAACCAGCTCTAAGGCTGTCCCAACAATGGTTAATAAATTACTGAATGGTCCACGGAGGCCCATGGGTAATGAAAGTTGTTCAGAAGACACATTTGCTCTATTCATTTTATAAGCAAATGAGTCTTCATTGGAGTAGTGTATAATTTAAATTAAATTTTAAAAAACCCATAAATTTTATTTAAACCATCCCTAAAATTAAATCAAAGAATATAAATTAACTAATACTTTTATAAAGTTACTTGAATTAATGTTTCAAAGAAGCTTTAATGACAGACTAGTGGCAAAATACTGTTAATAAAATTTTTTTTTTTCTTTTTCTTTTTATTATACTTTAAGTTCTAGGGTACATATGCACAACGTGTAGGTTTGTTACATATGCATACATGTGCAATGTTGGTGTGCTGCACCCATTAACTCATCATTTACATTAGGTATATCTCCTAATGCTATCCCTACCCCTCCCCCCTCCCCACAATAGGACCCGGTGTGTGATGTTCCACTTCCTGTGTCTGAGTGATCTCATTGTTCAGTTCCCACCTATGAGTGAGAACATGCGGTATTTAGTTTTCTGTTCTTGCAATAGTTTGCTGAGAATGATGGTTTCTAGCTGCATCCATGTCCCTACAAAGGACACGAACTCATCCTTTTTTATGGCTGCATAGTATTCCATCGTGTACATGGGCCACATTTTCTTAATCCAGTCTGTCACTGATGGACATTTGGGTTGATTCCAAGGCTTTGCTATTGTGAATAGTGCCGCAATAAACATACGTGTGCATGTGTCTTTATAGCAGCATGGCTTATAATTCTTTGGGTATATCCCCAGGAATGGGATGGCTGGGTCAAATGGTATTTCTAGTTCTAGATCCTTGAGGAATCACCACACTGTGTTCCACAATGGTTGAACTAGTTTACAGTTCCACCAACAGTGTAAAAGTGTTCCTATTTCTCCACATCCTCTCCAGCACCTGTTGTTTCCTGATTTTTTAATGATTGCCATTCTAACTGGTGTGAGATGATATCTCATTGTGGTTTTGATTTGCATTTCTCTGATGGCAAGTGATGACAAGCATTTTTTCATGTGTCTGTTGGCTGTATGAATGTCATCTTTTGAGAAATGTCTGTTCATATCCTTTGCCCACTTTTTGATGGGGTTGTTTTTTTCTTGTAAATTTGATTGAGTTCTTTATAAGTTCTGGTTATTAGCCCTTTGTCAGATGAGTAGATTGCAAAAATTTTCTGCCATTCTGTAGGTTGCCTGTTCACTCTGATGGTAGTTTCTTTTGCTGTGCAGAAGCTCTTTAGTTTAATTAGATACCATTTGTCAATTTTGGCTTTTGTGGCTGTTGCTTTTGGTGTTTTAGACATGAAGTCCTTGCCCATGCCTGTGTCCTCAATGGTATTACCTAGGTTTTCTTCAAGGGTTTTTATGATTTTAGGTCTAACATTTAAGTCTCTAATCCATCTTGAATTAATTTTCGTATAAGGAGTAAGGAAAGCATCCAGTTTCAGCTTTCTACTTATGGCTAGCCAATTTTCCCAGCACCATTTATTAAATAGGGAATCCTTTCCCCATTTCTTGTTTTTGTCAGGTTTGTCAAAGATCAGATGGTTGTAGATGTGTGGTATTATTTTTGAGGGCTCTGTTCTGTTCCATTGGTCTATATCTCTGTTTTGGTACCACTATCATGCTGTTTTGGTTACTGTAGCCTTGTAGTATAGTTTGAAGTCAGGTAGCATGATGCCTCCAGCTTTGTTCTTTTGGCTTAGGATTGTCTTGGCAATTCGGGGACTTTTTTGGTTCCATATGAACTTTAAAGCAGTTTTTTCCAATTATGTGAAGAAAGTCATTGGTAGCTTGACGGGGTTGGCATTGAATCTATAAATTACCTTGGGCAGTATGGCCATTTTCTCAATATTGATTCTTCCTATCCATGAGCATGGTATGTTCCTCTGTTTGTTTGTGTTCTCTTTGATTTCACTGAGCAGTGGTTTGTAGTTCTCCTTGAAGAGGTCCTTTACATCCCTTGTAAGTTGGATTCCTAGGTATTTTATTCTCTTTGAAGCTATTGTGAATGGGAGTTCATTCATGATTTCGCTCTCTGTTTGTCTGTTACTGGTGGATAAGAATGCTTGTGATTTTTGCACATTGATTTTGTATCCTGAGACTTTGCTGAAGTTGCTTATCAGCTTAAGGAGATTTGGGGCTGACACAATGGGGTTTTCTAAATATACAATCATGTCATCTGCAAACAGGGACAATTTGACTACTTCTTTTCCTAACTGAATACCCTTTATTTCTTTCTCTTGTCTGATTGCCCTAGCCAGGACTTCCAACACTATGTTGAATAGGAGTGGTGAGAGAGGGCATCCCTGTCTTGTGCCAGTTTTCAAAGGGAATGCTTCCAGTTTTTGCCCATTCAGTATGTTATTGGCTGTGGGTTTGTCATAAATAACTCTTATTATTTTGAGATATGTTCCATCAATACCGAATTTATTAAGAGTTTTTAGCATGAAGGGCTGTTGAATTTTGTCAAAGTCCTTTTCTGCATCTATTGAGATAATCATGTGGTTTTTGTCTTTGGTTCTGTTTATATGCTGGATTATGTTTATTGATTTGCGTATGTTGAACTAGCCTTGCATTCCAGGGATGAAGCCCACTTAATCATGGTGGGTAAGCTTTTTGATGTGCTGCTGGATTCGGTTTGCCAGTATTTTATTGAGGATTTTTGCATCGATGTTCATCAGGGATATTGGTCTAAAATTCTCTTTTTTTGTTGTACCTCTGTCAGACTTTGGTATCAGGATGATGTTCGCCTCGTAAAATGAGTTAGGGAGGATTCCCTCTTTTTCTGTCGATTGGAATAGTTTCAGAAGGAATGGTACCAGCTCCTCCTTGTACCTCTGGTAGAATTCAGCTGTGAATCCATCTGGTCCTGGACTTTTTTTGGTTGGTAGGCTATTAACTATTGCCTCAATTTCAGAGCCTGTTATTGGTCTATTCAGGGATTCAACTTCTTCCTGTTTTAGTCTTGGGAGAGTGTAAGTGTCCAGGAAATTATCCATTTCTTCTAGGTTTTCTAGTTTATTTGCGTAGAGGTGTTTATAGTATTCTCTGATGGTAGTTTGTATTTCTGTGGGGTCAGTGGTGATATCCCCTTTATAATTTTTTATTGCATCTATTTGATTCTTCTCTCTTTTCTTCTTTATTAGTCTTGCTAGCGGTCTATCAATTTTTTTGATCTTTTCAAAAAACCAGCTCCTGGATTCATTGATTTTTTTGGATTTTTTTTTTGTGTCTCTATCTCCTTCAGTTCTGCTCTGATCTTAGTTATTTCTTGCCTTCTGCTAGATTTTGAATGTGTTTGCTCTTGCTTCTCTAGTTCTTGTAATTGTGATGTTAGGGTGTCAATTTTAGATCTTTCCTGCTTTCTCTTGTGGGAATTTAGTGCTATAAATTTCCCTCTACACACTGCTTTAAATGTGTCCCAGCGATTCTGATATGTTGTATCTTTGTTCTCATTGGTTTCAAAGAACATCTTTATTTCTGCCTTCATTTCGTTATGTACCCAGTAGTCATTCAGGAGCAGGTTGTTCAGTTTCCATGTAGTTGAGTGGTTTTGATTGAGTTTCTTAGTCCTGAGTTCTAGTTTGATTGCACTGTGGTCTGAGAGATAGTTTGTTATAATTTCTGTTCTTTTACATTTGCTGAGGAGTGCTTTACTTCCAACTATGTGGTCAATTTTGGAATAAGTGTGATGTGGTGCTGAGAAGAATGTATATTCCATTGATTTGGGGTGGAGAGTTCTGTAGGTGTTTATTAGGTCCACTTGGTGCAGAGTTGAATTCAATTCCTGGATGTCTTTGTTAACTTTCTGTCTTGTTGATCTGTCTAATGTTGACAGTGGGATGTTAAAGTCTCCCATTATTACTGTATGGGAGTCTAAGTCTCTTTGCAAGTTTCTAAGGACTTGCTTTATAAATCTGGGTGCTTCTGTATTGGGTGCATATATATTTAGGATAGTTAGCTCTTCCTGATGAATTGATCCCTTTACCATTATGTAATGGCCTTCTTTGTCTGTTTTGATCTTTGATGGTTTAAAGTCTGTTTTATCAGAGACTAGGATTGCAACCCCTGCTTTTTTTTTGTTTCCCATTTGCTTCGTAGATCTTCCTCCATCCCTTTATTTTGAACTTATGTGTGTTTCTGCATGTGAGATGGGTCTCCTGAATACAGCAAACTGATGGGTCTTGACTCTTTATCCAATTTGCCAGTCTGTGTCTTTTGATTGGACCATTTAGTCCATTTACATTTAAGGTTAATATTGTTATGTGTGAACTTGATCCTGTCATTATGATATTAGCT